TGCTCGTACATCTCCATCAGAGTGTACAAAAGCCACGCAACACCGGTTTTCCTGGGCTGTGCAGGGTATAGCAGTGGATGAGCAATGTAAACACATACAGTGTTTTTCAAAAAAATTAAATAATGTAATGAAAACATTACCTTGGACACTAACTTAAAAATATAATTAAAAGGGACAAAAATGGAAAGGTGGAGCTGGGAGGTGAGGAGGTGATTAAGGGTATTTGCTTTGCAAGCATGAGGACTTGAGTGTGAGTTCCCAGCACACACAAGACTCCAGCATTGGGAACAGAGACAACAGGACTCTGAGGCCTTCCTGGCTTGACAGCCTAGCCAAACAAGGAGCTTCCAGTCTTGCAAGATACCCTGCCTGAGGGCAAAGAGTGACAGAGAGGTATTTGACATCCTACCTGACCTACAAACACACACACACACACACACACACACACACACACACACACACACTGCACACAACTGTGCACCACACATGCACAAAAAGGAAAAAGGAAGGAAGAAAGAAAGAAAGGAAGAAAGAAAGAACAATGGCTGTACTTCGATGGTATCTTACCTTTAAGTCACATCAAACAATTAGTCATTTTGATGACAATAAACTATGGATAAAATATCTGGGCCTCTTTGAGAGTGTCATTCAATTTAAACATTATGATTTATTTCCATGGCTGAAAATAAAATCAGTAATACAAGACAACTCTTGATTTCCAGTTACTAAAGTTACAGAAAATATCTGATTTCTTCGTAAAAATCCTCCAAGTGTGACTCATTTGTTAACAGAAAATAATTCACCACGTTGACTAGGTCTGGTGGCATACTACTGCTTGGTCCGATTCCCTGGAAATGACAATGCAGTCACCTGGGCCTTACTACATGTTACTAAATATTTGAGTCTGGACTCTTAACCATCTCCCCGTGAGGATTTCTGCTATAACACCTATGACACAGCTTTTCAAGACAATCTGTAAACTATCCAGGCTAATGCACCAAATGCATTGTGGGAATGATTTCCGGACACCAGCAAACAGAATGCCTGCTGGGTTGTCTACTGCGGCAGACTTTCTCTGTGGATGTAAGAGAGATTGCTACTTGCCACATGTGTGCTTAGCTCAGAAATGCAGACCGAAAACTTGAATTGAAGACAAAGTCCAGCGGGAAGACGCTGGCAGCCATCCCTTTCTGTTCTTGAGGGAAGGAATTCTAGTAAAAAACAGAGGATGCTTTCCTCTGCAAGTCCTCTCTACCCACTGAACTCCTGGGTTTCTATCAGCATTCCACCAAAAGCTTGACATGCTTTCTTAAATTATGTGCATTATTTGTACAAAGTGATGAGGCTTGTTACGACATTTGATACAGGTGTATAATATGCACCGTAAGTTACCTTGTAGTAAACCCGTGCTTCATTGCTGCTGTGAAATGCATGGCAAAGCAACTCAAAGAAGAGTTTGTGTTGGAAGCATTGCTCTGTGGGTACAGCCTTTGCTGAGCAACTGTTAGGAGCCGAGTTTGGATCTCCAGAAGGCCTGAGCCAAGCATGCGTCAGTACACTCGGCGCTCCCATGGGAGGTGGAGATGGGAGACGCGCTTACAGGCCACCCAGATTCGTGCACACAGTGGCAAACAAGAGGCCCAAGTGGGTGGTGCCAAGTGATGCCTGAGGTTATACTCTGACTACCGTGTGTGCTGGCCACATGACTGCACGGGCATGCGCACAATAATTGACACCAAAACGGAAGGCAGGCTGCACTGGTGCCTCAGAGTGCTTTAGATTCTTACAGCAGACCTCAGTACAATTGTCAGCACTCACATCGGGTGGATTGCAACAGTTTTTACCCGCAGCTCCAAGGGACCTGCCACTCGCCTCTGTGTACACACATGCACGTGTCCATACTCACAGACACATGCATGTGTCAATACTCATATGCAGACACGTGCACGTGTCCATACTCACATGCAGACACATGTACATGCCACTACTCACATGCAGACACATGCCCGTGTCATTACTCACATGCAGACACGTGCACATGTCCATACTCATATGCAGACACATGCACATGTCCAAACTTACATGCAGACACAGATTAAAATAAAATAAATCTCTTTGCTCGGGTCTGCTTTCTATTTAGTGATAAACACCACAAGCAAAAGCTCCCTGGAGAGAAATGGTTACTGGGCTTGCATGATCTGATCATAGTATATCCTGGGGGAATCCAAGAACTCTAGCAGCTCAGGAACCCAGACACAGAATGGAAACAGAAGCCATGGAGGAACACTGCTTACTTCCGGGTCTCAGGGCCCTAACTCAAGATGTCAGGTTGGTGACACCATACTTAGTCATCTCACTGACCCATTTCTTCTTTGTTGTTGAATGAATATTCAGATTATCTTTATTCGTTAAAATATCTGCTGGTGGCCACCTATATGACTTTCATTTCCTACTAAGATTGTGTTATCAGGAAAGCTAAGTGCTGGGTTTAGGGTATGGAATGAATTACTATTTTAAGACTAACAAGTACTGTTGAAATTTAAATATGATCCAAATGGTGCTCTGATTTAAAAAAAATGAACTAAATTTTAATATCAAGAGATTCCTAATTGTAAAAAATCAAACATATTAAAAAGAAACTATCAAACACTTTAATTTTTTTCAGTATTACCTAAATTAAAAAAAAGATTCCTGCTGCTATGCGAGCTTCTTCAATCCCTGATCTCCAGTCACACCCAGCTCACATGGCCGCCCCCATTCAATCCTGTGTGCAACTATAGAGTATAAAATGTGTAGCCTTTCTTTCAAAAAGTGGCAGGCAACCCAATTCACACTCAGCTCTTGTCGGCCTCCTCCTAGACCTTTCAGAATCCACACCTCCTCTTCCGGACCTGAACTCCACTGGAACTGGATTCCGGCAGCCATAACACATAAAAAATTTCATTCACTTTGTTCGCACAACACATAGCACAAGCAATTCCATTTTTGTTTGGTTTGTTGAAACCTAGTGCAGGAGTTCATTCCAGATTTTATTTGTTTGTTGTAGCCTTAAGTTTTGTTTGGAGACAAGGTATTGCTCTATAGCCCAGGCTGTCTTCAAACTTTAGATCCTCCTGCCTCTGCCTCCTGAGTTCTGAGATTTCAGATGTATATGATCCACCTGCATATACAAATATTCTTCCCTACCATTACAGACATATATGTATGTATAACTGTCCATTAAGTCTATAAGCATCAAGGTAACCATCTACATACCTATCAAACTACTCTGAAAGTCCCTTTATCCACATGAACAAAGGAGTCAAGACCATGATGGGGAAACCCACAGAATCAGTTAGTGAGAGATCACTGACTCAGGTTTGACAAATGGGGAATCTGCATAAGACCGAACTAGACTCCCTTACTATTGGTGACAGTGTTGCGACTGGGACAATATATGAGGCCACTGGCAGTGGGTCCAAGATCTAACTCTAATGCACAAACTGACTTAGTGGAGCCCATTGTATACGGAAAAGTACCTTGCTCAGCCTAGACACAGGGGTGTGGGGGGGTGGGGAGGTACCTTGGTCCTGCCTCAACAACATGATGGAACAGACTTAGTAGATGCCCTAGGGGAGGCTTTACCCTCTCCAAGGAACAGATGGGAGGTAGGGGGTGGGGGGGAGTAGGAGGAGAGGAGGGAGGGGAAACTGGGATTGGAATGTAAAGAATAAATTAATAAAAAAGTGAATGTTAATCAAATAAAACCGATCTCAAAGTTCAAAAATAAAGTCCCTTTATCCATAGTAACCAAAATAAACTTGATAAGTAAACATCTTTGGGTATAGATATTTGGGGAGAAACTAGAAGACATTCTATGCAAAAAAATCTACCATTTTGAAGTGATAGTTACTAAGGTGATAATAAAATTATGTACAGTTTATCACCTGAGGTAACCGTTTTAAAAAGACCTCAAGTGTAAAAGGCAGTCCAGACACAGCATTTTTCTGAAGATAACAACCAAAACCGGCCCTCTCTGTTGACTTCTCCTTTCTACTTCTCTGAAAGAGATTCTACCCTAGGCCATTCCAACTGCTGACCTGTTCCTCTCACTTAGCATTACATACCACCCGGTGAGTGTGTCACCACTGTCACATGGCTGGATAAGGACTGCAAATTAAATGTGAATGTGAAAAGTAGATCCAATTCTCCGTTCAGTGGAGACTATTGGAAGTCTTTGTTTATTCCATGCCCTGGGCCCTAATAATCAGAATTGGCTCTCCATTTATCTCTACTGAGGCCTTCCCTGGGGTTTGATTAATGAAAGGCAGGGTCTTCTTGGGTCTGAAAAGCCATTGTCAGGGCAAGTTCCTGTGATTTAGCAAATAAGACAGGTATGAAATGACACATTTTGGTAGGGTAAAATACTTGTGAATGTCCCATGCATTGACATGATATACTGCATAACAGTTTAAGATTTGGGGGTAAACCAATAGTAAACTTCCATTTTTTTGTCGTTACTACAACAGTTAATATTATTATGTAGTCTGAAGCTCTTTTCTTATCTATTTCGGCTCAGACAGCATCCTGTATACATACGTGATATTAACCCAGCACAAACCAGATGGTTCCATCTAAGACTGACATTATGTTACTTAGCCTAACGGTATGCCAAACTGAGGAAACCATAAAAGTAGCTTGAAAATTTTCGTGTGTGTGTGTGTGTGTGTGTGAGAGAGAGAGAGAGAGAGAGAGAGAGAGAGAGAGAGAGAGAGAGAGAGAGAGAGAGAGAGAGACTTGGGGCCATGTAAGAGTGTTCAAAGTCCCCCAGAGATTATCAATCTGGAAGTGCTCCTTGCAATTCAGTCATCCCCCCTCCCTCCTCCTTTCCCCTCCCCCACTTTATTGCAAGCAGTCTGTCAAAACTTGAATGACTTATGGGGAGACAGTTTTCTTGGTCTGGAGGCTTGGCACTTACCTGGCCCTAATTTTGATCCCCAGCAACAACAGAAAGAGCCAGCTACACTTACAACTTTATTTTACAATGTTTGCAAGCATGTACCTCTTTATACAAGTTAGAGGCAGGGACAATAACATTTGGCTGCGTTTTATATTTGTGAAAAGAAGCCAATGTCACTAAAGGTCAAGCTGCCCTCTGATTGCATGGACTAATAATAAAGTGTTACATATTGCAGCTTATAGAGAACCATGCTACAGACAAAGTTTATGATGAAATGAGTAATATATAAGGAGACTAACATACTTATCTTACATATCTACAACATGTATTTTCATATTCCTAGGCCAACCACAAACCGTACTGGGTAATATTTAGGTACATGAAACAGCTTCAAAACATTAAAAAAATTAACATTTTGAAAAAAAAATCAACATGTGAAAGCTCATTAAATAACCATTGAAAAATAAATAATCTGCTCTGCCTATTAGCTGCTGACACGCATTGCTGGCATTCCATTCCAAGCAAGGTCAACATGCAGGGTATAATTTCACACTGAGACTGTAAAAAGCTACAGGGCTTTTTTCTTTTCTTTTTTTTTTTTGAAGTGAAATGTCACAAGGTTTGCCTCTCTTTCAAAGCAAGCTAGCCCCTGGCTGCCAAACTACTCCCATGACAATGACTGGAAAAGCCCCTTTCTGAAATGTTTTGTGAAGATACATTTTTCTGTGAACTTTTCTGGTTGGAAGGGGTTTCGTTTGGGAAGTGTGCGGGTGGGCTGGTGAATGGAGCGTTTTAAACTGTAAAGGAGCGGGGGGGGGGGGGTGTTTAAACAGCGTCAGGTACTTTTTAAGAATGGAAACGACAGGACGCCTGGCTTTCACTCATTACATCTCAAGAAACTCACAAAGGAAAAGCTAGTCCCTCCCAGAGAAGGTCCCCGAGAAGGACAGCCTGCTGGGCTTGATCAAAGCGGAAAGCATACACTTTCAAGGGAGGAGAGAGCAGTGGCAGGCTCGAGTCTCCCAAGCCATCAAATCTGGGCGGCAGATGCTGTCTGGGCAGCTCAATTCTAGCTCAGGCTGTGCTTGCTCGCCTTGCTGGCTCTCTTCCGCTCTCGGTGGTGCTGGGCGGGCTTGGCGGGCGACACGCTCTCGAAGTTGTGGCTGGACTCGTTGTGCTGGCGGGTGTACCGCTTGCACTTGCAGGCCGTGACCACGGTGATTTTGTAGGTGCGTGTGCTGCCGTCTTGGCACTGCAGCTGGATTCTCTGGGTGCGCGTCTTGTCGTTGACGCACCGCCACTCCTGGGAGCTCCGCCGGCTCCAGTACTTGGCTCCGTAGCCTCCTCCGATCCAGTTGGGAAGCACCGGCAGGGGCAGGCACTCGCCCGCGCACACCAGCTCCTTGAGAGGGCTGATGCTGGTGCACTGGCCGTCTGAAATGTATTTGGTGGATCGCAGCTCCCGGCAGCCCACTTGAACTCGACCTACGGGGGAAACAGGGCAGAAATGCATCAGAGACAGAAAGCCACTGAAGGTGTTTGGGGGCTTTGATCTCCTTTTAAGTAACTTGCAGTGAAAAAAAATCAAATAATTGAAGGACACTGCCAAAGAAGTGACTATGTACTTTATTTTCACAAGGCAGGTCTGCGGGAGGGGTGGAAGACACTTCCATCAAAATGGCCAGGCTGCATACAGTCTGTAACTATTTTGGAGGGGAGGGAAGGAGAACGTTCTTTTTCTTGTGTTTCATTAACCCATTGTTTATTAAAGTATTTAAAAGTCACATTCTCTGAGTCTCATTGCTACTCTTCAAAGAATACACTTTAATGTTCTTGTTCTCATGGGTAATATTGGTTAATGTCTGCAAGTGCTTTTAATTAAGTTTTTGAAAAAAATCTCTTGAGAAAATGTGGAAAGTATTTACATATTGTGTATAGTGCATACGCACGCTGTAATATTTTATTTCAATTATAGAATTCAGCTGCACAGTCACGCATGCATATGGGTACAACCCTTGACATTTTTGCATATCAAACTTAATAACTGTGTTCTAAACATAAATTCCCAAGCTATGTTTAAAAAAAAACAAACAGTAAAATGTTTGAAATGCAAAAGGCCACCACAACTCAATATTTAAAGAATATAAAAGCCCCTAAATTAAGAACGTATGGTTGCCATGACAACTTGGCTACATTTCCATGAATTTTATGGCAGAAAAATACCTAACATGTCTGATTTACAACTGCACAAGGAACCGCAGTGTTCATTTCCCGAATATCAGGCATGGGTGACTTTTTGTTTCAGTTATTTGGATTTGATAAGTAGGTTCTCTAATTGGCTGTTTCTGGTCATGTGACTTGTGTAATTAAAACAAAAATTAATCTTAAGACATTTGAAGTTTTCCTTATTGTTATCCAAATGAGAATTGCTTATGACAAACTTAGAAAGAGGTCATGTCTTATTAACCAGGAAAGGGGGCTTAAAAACACAGCTCGATGAACTGCCACAGCTAGTAAAAGCTGCTGGAATTGTCCTTCTGCCTCTGAAAATAATCTCAAAGTGGACGGCGAGTCAGGAGTTTTGCTGCATTTCTGGGCCAGAATGTCTGAGTTAAGGATTACAGCCTAAGGGAAGTGTGTGACTGCTGCATACCACACCTGTGCAGGTCTGTGCGGACAGAGCTTCAGCTGGCGACTGACGTGAAAGGGTTAACGGTTTGGCTGGCCAGTGTGCCTCTGACTCCAGCTCACCTTTGGGCACCTGGAAGCAGCCTGCCGGCTGACCAAGGTTTTGACTTGCCTTGCCTTTGTTCCTGGACGTATAAGATTGGGCATTTTTATGGTGACGTTTCTCTCAATGACAATGAGTATCCACCACACTGCTCGGTAACCCAACACTGATAGCACACTTCCTGTGCCCCGAAACCAACCATCTCCACGCAGTGAAAACGCTTTGGTTTTCTTAGAGAGACATGGCCAGTCACACTCGCTTTGACTTTTTCAAAGGTCAAAAACTCTTTTTCCTTCGTTGTCGAATGAAGCTTAAGGAGGAGGGGCAAATATTTGGGTAAGATTTCCTGCACACTGTTTTCTGTCTTCAACTTGATTACTTAATGCGAACTCTTTCAAAGGAAGAGAGTGAAGCAAAAGCGAGGGGAAGAAATCTGAACACCTCTAACTGGTAGTCACTTGGCCTGTCAATTGAACAAACCTAAAGGGGTAAAGAAACACTCCCTGTGGTGAACATTAACATGCAGTTATTTAAAATCTCCTGTGACAAATATGCACTCAGAAACATGCCATTGCCTCAATTCAGCCTGTTGAATAAGGACTTTAGGAAAACACGATTCTTTAACATTTTGTAGTGTGGACCTCTTTTACAACGAGCATCATCAAACCTTTACAGGTCTCCGATCTACACATATTTTAGACATCTGTGTGAGCAACATGTTGCCTGAAAGCTCGCTCTCACCCTTTGTGATTCCCCGTACAAAGTTCCACGTAGTTACCAACAGTCACTTCACCAGACTTGTGTAGGACAGCCTGAGCTCAAACTGCAGAACAACATTTTAAAGAATTCTCCCTTTGCAGATTTAAAGAAGCTGCAGCTGAATTAACTCATGGATAGACTTTTCGGTGGGGACTGGACAAACCACATCTGTCCTTGCGCTATCAAACCTCTGTTTTCATTCTGTTAACTCTAAAATCACCAGCCAGGAGAGAACACCAGCCTACACATGCAGCAGATTGCTCCCAGATTTTTTTTTTTTTGCAAAACATACATGGTCCACAGTAGCATACAATAAAACCATTTTACAGCAACGGGGGCTGAAGCTCCCCAAAAGGAACAAACAAACAAACCTGTACAAGTAAAACACACTTACTGTTGCGATCCAGTCCAGGGCTACTGAAATGCCTGCCTCCATTCCTGGCTTGATTCAACGTGCTGTTGCTGCTAGGAACAGGTTTGACCACATGTGAATAAAGGATTTCTGTGGCATCATTTTTAAAGGCCAAACAGTTTCTCATTAGGATGCCCATTAGTGGGACCAGATAGAGATGAATGGCAGGGGGGAGCATGCTGAGTGGAGGATTTGCTTGGCTGAGGAGCCGCTGGGTTCTCTGCCCCTGCTTCTGCACCATGGACTGTGGAATTCCTCCCCTGGGTTCCCTTTATATATCCACAGAGGCTTGGCGTTCATTCAGGTGTAAAGTTGTGTAGAGCTCCAGAGTGAAAACACGGAGAAGGGGTGGGATCCCTACGTGACCCTGCACAAGAATTTTACCAATGGAGGAGGAGGCTGCAGAAGAGGAGGGGCTTGCTACACAGCTTGCCCGAGACTTCTGAGTGGGGCTTTGCTGGCCTGCCAGCTGAAGCAGGCAAGGCAGGGCATTGTCACAACTGCCACACGTCTCAGCCACGTCCTCTCTGGAGCCCAGTTCGTGTTCAAGTTTAATGGAAGGGAAAGTATGCTGCTGTTCACGTGGAGAGACTGTGTTTATTTTATTTTAGATTTTACATTTTTCTTCTATATTCCCCTCAGATTTGAGACGATTTGGGGTCTGGAAGAACTTCTTCCCCCAATAGTTGGAAGAATCAATGTGAGTTTTCCGTAATGTTGGACTTAGTTGCTTAAAGTATTTATTTAGTTAAGTATGTTTTGTCTCTCAAGAAAAAGGAAAAAAAAACACAAAAACTTTTTTTTCCTCCCTTTTCCTGTAAAGAGGAAGGCACGGAGCCGAAACCTGCCCTCTGGACACACTTAAATACCGCTGCTTTGATCTGTATGAACTACTGTCCTACTAGGTAAATTATTGCCAGGGGTTCTATGTAGGAGATAATGAGCAGAACTCTGTCTGAATTAAAGTAACTAGTATCAGTTTTCATCTTGAAATTTGCCAACAAGATTTAGCATTCAGCATGTCTCTTACACACACACACACACACACACACACACACACGCATGCACGCACGCACTCACGCACTCCATTTCCTACACATTGTCATTCACCAATTCAAAACACTTCTAGTTTGCTGTTACACTGCAGATCCCAGATTGTATTTGCGTTTGTCAAACACTTTCTTCACCGCCTCCATTGAGTCTGCTGCCCAAGCCAGAAGTGCTGTTTCTGTCTGGCCTACTTGGTCTCCACTTGGCACAAATATTCTGCTATCAGACTGCTGATCTTTAACCCTGAAAATGCGAGGGTCCAGCAGGATGGTTCAGTGGGCTAGGGCATTTGCAGTCATGCTTGACAACCCCGAGTTCAGTCTCCACACATAGCAGAAGGAGAATGGACGCCGGGAATTTTGCCCTTTAGCATTCACATGTGTGCTATGGCATGAGTACGTATGCACAAAATAAATTATTAAAAAAGAAGAAAACAAGTTGTCTGACTTATTAAACACTTTGATTGGAAAAAACTATATATTTAAAACTGCCTTTTCAATTATAAATCCATTTTAGTCACTAATGTGGCTATTAGAAAGATGTCTGAGCATTTTCTGTCTCTCTTATTTATAAGTTATTATCCATTATAGCTACTATTCTCCACCACCCCGTTTCCTTCTGCCTTAACTGTGTATATCAACAGTGGCACCTACTGACATTTTGGAACAAGCGTTTACTTATTCTGTAGATATTGCCCTGCATCTTTAGTGTGAGTCTTGGCTTCACCCAGTAGATGCCAGTAGCACCCCCAGTTATTTGAACAATAATTCCACTACTGCCAAGTTTCTTGCAGTAAATAAAGCCACCCCTGATTAAAAACTATCAGTTTCTATTCATTTATCCTTTATAAAAAGGAAGCAAACAAAAGAATATAAATCTAAGTTTTAAACAATAAAGGATTTTTCTTTTTCTTTTCTTTTTTCTATTTACAGGAGAAACTCATACTGTGATTTTATTTTAGAAAGGTAACTGCTTATCCTTTAGAAATATAAAATATCCATAGATGAAATGATATAGCATCTGGAATAAGTGTCAAAATAATATAGTGGGGAGTAATTAGCATGTTGGTGAATTCATATGGGTCGAGGGCTGTTAGAATGTGATGGTAAGTATTCTATTTACTCTTATATGTGTTCAAAACTCTCTAAAATTAAAAATTAAAAATCAGGGCCAAATAATCAATTTAATGTATGACCGTTAGCCCAGTTTCCTATTGCTGTGTATAGTGATTTATTATAAAATTCTTCCTGGAGTAAATAAATCAGATTATTTTGTGCAAGTAAGGGTATACATCAAGCATCTTTCTGAAATAGCCTGAATTCTAGTCCTACATTAAGGGACTTCATGTTAGTTCCACGATGCTCAAATTGACAGCTGATGCAGGGTCTAGAGGAATCCAGAGTCAAACTAGCCCAACCTTTCTCCAGTGTACTCTTTTCTGTATAGCAGAAGCAGGAAATATTTTAGTTTGAATGTAATTACCAGGTTGAACAAACAAACATAAATTGTAAAATCTGCTAGCCCTTTGTGTTCTGTGTACTGCGCTTAGTATATGGGCTCCCGTAGCAGCCAAACGAGGAGGGGAAGCAGCGTGACTGTGTACACTTACAAGGAAAAGCGAAGTCAATCTAGGGGACCAACCTGGTAAAATAGAAACAATCAGCAGCTTCACATTTAATGGGTTTAACAATCACTGTAATCTCTGGGTTGATAGATGTAGACGTTAAACATCGCCCCCGACTCTCCTTCTCCTTAGGTCTTCCTACCATCCGTTCCCCTTTTCCTTGGAATAGCCTTACTCCTTCTTATTCTGTGATCAATACCTAAATTTCTTCAAGTCCTCTTTGGGTAGACTAGAACTCAACCCTTTGCCCTGGGCCCTTCGTATCTGCAGCCAGCCTTACTTGAACAGGCCTTATGATGAAGAATTATTCTTTCACTTTGTGAGTATTATGGGTTGTTGGGAAGAACTGAAATACTTTAACTACAGGGGTGGGAAATCTCTCAACGTGGAAAACACTGGTAATTGTTGGTAGCAGCCAATATGGAACATGATGCATTCTTCCTCGTGGTATTCATACCCTTGTATCAATCTTCCTGGTCTGCCTGTAGGATGAACCTAACAGGCTAGCTTTCAAGGAATGTGTTGGGGAGGCGTGGTGAGATTCAGGGTTAGGTTTCTGGAAGATGGTGACTTCTGTCTTGCTCGCCTGCTGTTTCTCTTGGGTCCTTGGGCTAGTGGCAGCCAGCCATCATGCGGCCCAGAACTGAGACACTCAGACAAATGTCCCCGAATTCTCCCAGTCACCACAAGGGTGCATTTAGGAGCAACTTCTAACAGGCATTCCTTTAGATGAGGCTGCAGCCCTGGCTCATACCCCAAATGCAGCCTAGCAAAAGGTGCTGAACCAACAAATCCACAGAGATAAGGCGTGTTTGTTGTTTTAACTGATTGCAGATGGGTAACCTGTAGAGTATTGTGTATAGAAGTGATGATGTGGTCAGTAAGTCACTTTGTGAATCCTACCAGGGCCTTGGTAGCATCACATCTGAAACAGTAAAACGTGGCAGTTTTCAGTAGGTAAGCTTTGGGGTCTGCCTTCTTCTTCACAGCTGAGTCACCAACATCATTCCACTTGCCATAATGAATGATACAATTAGAATTTCGGCTGTAGATCTAACAGGCAAAATGTGTCATAGCAATTTTCATGTTCTAATGATACTGTCGACCGTGTGACTCTTGGAGCTGCGGTCAGAATTTGATTTCTGTCATCTTTTGGAGGTCGCAGTTACTGTCATTTCCAATTCTAGAGTTAGGTCTACTTCATCCCATAAAGTAGACTCATTCCTGCACTTGAGGTTTTTCTGCCATTTACAGTGTTTATGAACTTAAACATGTTACCTTATCTACAATTCTCTGTCAGTGTCTATCTGCAAGCATATCCAGATTGATTTACCACAGAGAGAGAGGGAATAAGTCCTGATCTAAAATGTAGCACAAAATCAGTCACAAAAAAAATGTGGAAAAACTATCCCCTAAATATGATTCTGAAGGCAACGCTTTCATTATAGCCTTCAAATTATAAACATGGCTTGAAGACTGGGGAAGTTCTGAACAAACGCAATTTTGCCCTATGTAAGGTTAAAAACTAAAGGAAAAGAGGACGGAAACTGCCTGCCCCAATGAATAGGTAAATGGAGCCTGGCCGCTTGCTTCCCCAAAGGAAGAATTGACATAAATACATACAGAAATATTAGTTGTATTTAAGTATGATCTACAGCTGCTATTTCATGATCTTAATTATTTTCAGATGGCTCCAGTTAATAGGAAGAATTTGTTCGTCAAAAAGTGAATAGCCATTGTAAGTTTAGGGGGGGGAACCTGAGAAAACACGGCCTTTTCGTTCATTTGAAAGGGAACAGACTTGCTGCTGGCCCTGTCTTGATTACTTCGATAAGACTTCTGACCCCACGTGCGCACCTCCCTACGAGCTCACACGTTGGCTTCTGGTCATTTTCCATTTTCCATCGTTTTTCTTGGTTTGGTCTTGCGGTTGTTCAGGTTGTACTAGAGCTTGCTACCCTCCTCCTTCAGCGCTCATAGCCACCACACCCGAATCTGTCACTCTCCTTCGGAAGCAGCGTCAGCCATGACTGCCAAGCTCAGGCAACCATTTCACTGGACGGATGCCTTTATCCTAATCGTCTCGTGCATGATTTCCTCTCTGCCTGTCGTGTGAAAGGGGTTGAACCCTCCCAGGGAAACACTCAACAGCACGACGGAAAACTCCTTCATGAGTGCTGCCAACACCTCTAGCTTCTGCTGAAGGCAGCCCGGCAGTGACGTCACCTCACCGCCTCTGGGAAGTCCGGCGGTGATGCCATCGCACCACCTCTAAGAGAGCCCGGCAGTGACGTCACCTCACCACCACTGTTAGTTGCCATTTTAATTCCTTTAGATTCTTTATGGTTTGGTCTGGAGGATTATTTTCTACTTTCAATGTGCCTAATGGGGATAATAATTATTTAGAAGAATGCACATAATGAATGACCGGTGTAACTCAATTAAAAAAAAAAAGAAAAACTCAGGTAAGATTTCCAAATCCAGCATACGTATTGCCAGCCTAAGCTTTGCAAAGTCATGAACATTGACATTGGGGCTGACGAGCTCTTTCCTAGTAGACGGGGGGGACTTTCTGTGTATTATAGAAGGTTTAATAATATCTCCAAGTTCTGCCAACTAGATACTGCTTACAGCTACCCACCCAGAAGCCTCACATACAAGCTCTAGGACAGAGGTTAGGTGAGT